TCTTTCTAACGAGAAAGTTGCGGTCTGTTGGCAGCAGGTCTCTGAAGAGCCTGTCCTTGCAGGGAAGAAAAGGCTGTGTCTAAGAGCCGTTGTGTTAAATAAAGGCTCTCTCCCTTCCTCCTGTCTTGAATAATCTCTGCTGTAATTTAGTTCTGTGCACTAGGTGGAAAAGAAACAGAAAACCGCTTAGCCGTTATTCAATGACCCCTCACAATTGTTAAGATGGTATTTTTAACCCTCACCTGAGTTCTAAGATGGGCCTTGCTAACTTGGTGGGCTAGAACTGAACTCTAAGGCCCACTTCAGTTTTTAACTTCACACGGCAAAAAAGAAATACTCTGTCTTCTCCTTGAATCCTAGCTGATCCTCCACAGCTGGAGTCTGAGCTATTTTACTGCCAAAGCCTAACTTCCATCTCCTGGGAACTAAGGATATTTCCTGTCTTGCCTTTATCCCAAGGCTGAATAAGAGCCAAAGGAAGCAATGAGAGTGTGAAGGCTAGATCACAGTGAGAAAGAACACCCCAAATCCAGATCCCCGGAACCTCATCCCTCCTCTACCTGCTTAGTTAGTAACAGAAGGAAATGCATGCGGAGCCATAAAAATACTTCACATTCTCCCTCACCACTCTCAGAATGGCACCTGCTACTACTGTGACTGCCACTACCACCATCACCAACACATCACCACCACCACCACCACAATTGTCATCACCATCATCATCACCATTGTCATTGTCGCCATCATCATGACCACCACCACCATCATCAACATCACCACCATTGCCATCATCATTACCCTGATCATGATCACCACCACCATCACCACCATTGCCATCATTACTGTCACCATGCTCACCACCACTGACATCAGCATTACCATCATCATGACCACCACCACCATCATCAACATCACCACCATAGCCATCATCATTACCACCATCAATGACTATAACACACTAGAATCAGAAGAATGGAACTAGGTTATTCCCAAGGTTTTATTTGGATTGAAAGCCCAAAGGTGCTTTGTTCTAGCGATTATGTTAGGACTAAGATCCCAAGCTCACATACTCCTTAGACCTTGATTCCTTCAATATCATAAAATGAGGCTTGTTTTTACTGTATCTAGATGGCATGTATGTCAGAGACCTCTGAATAAAGACAGGATGTAGAGCCCGGAGTAAAGGGCATAAAAAAGAGAACAAGGGGCTAGGAAGGTGGCTCAGCAGTTAAAGACACATTGCTCCTGCAAAGAACTCAAGTTCAAGTCCCAGCTCCACATTGGGCAGCTTACTCAAAGTCTGTAAATCAAAGTCCAGGGGAGCCACACTTCTGGTCTCTGTGGGCACCTGAACTCATGTGCACACACCCACTTAAAGAGGTGTAACTTAAAGAATAATAAAATAGGGGCGGGAGAGATGGCTCAGAGGTTAAGAGCACTGGCTGTTCTTCCAGAGGACCTGAGTTCAATTCCTAGCACCCACATGGTGGCTTTCAACCATCTGAAATGTAATCTGATTCCCTCTTCTGCTGTGCATGAAAAGTGTCCATATACATAAAATAAATAAAGTAAAAAAAAAAAAAAAAAAGAATAATAAAATAAATCTTTTTTTAAAGAGAGAGAGAAGAGCTGGCCAGGCTGCCTGTCATTGTGTCCCCGGAAGTGGAGATGGTAAGTGGTGGAATGGGGAAGTCTTCTACATTCCATATTCACCACCAAAGGACGGGCAGCACACAGCCCCGGCCTCTTTCCTCAGTCCGTGCCGAAAGCAATGGAGGCAATTAAGCTACTCGTCCACTCTGTTTGCAGGTAGGATGGCTGTAGATGCTCTGGCAAGCACTCTGACCTTTAGTTAACATGTCTCCTGTGCTATTGTGGGTCCCACGCGGTCGGGATGTGGATTCGAATTTGGAGCCACCAAGGTCAAGAGTGTGGCTTTACATTCAGAACAGCTGTGGGATGAAAAGATGGCAGCATGTAGGCCTGACTGAAGGACCTCGGTCACATGCCGCAGTCCGGAGAAAGCCGCTGCACTTCCTTTTCTTCTGGCCCGGAGGACGCTCAGAGAAACAGTGAAACCACGTGGGCCTTCTCCTGGTGAGCTTATGTCTTTTGAAGCCAACTCTGATAAGTTATTCGGTTTGTTTGTTTGTTTGTACCTGTACCAGGTCTTAAGAAGAGCCAAGAGGTCTCTTAACACATACAAGTCCTATGTATGTAGGAGCACAAGCTGGGCCAACTAAGGGTCTAAATGACAGTTCTCAAAAAAAAAAAAAAATCAGAAAATATGAACAAACAAAAAGTAGAACCTTATACACACTAAGCATTCAGGTGCCTCCCCACCGATATATATGTATATAAAATATTCATGTCTTCAAGATGTGCGTGGCTGGGGCTGACGAGATGGCTCAGCAGTTAAGAGCATCTGTTGCTGTTGCAGAGGACTCAAGGTTTAGCCTTGGGTTCATTTCCCAGCACCCACATGGTGGCTCACAACCTCCATAACTCCAATTCCAGGGGATGTGACGCCCTCTTGTGACCTCTGTGGGCACCAGGCATACACAGGTGCACATACATGCGTGCAGGCGAAACACTCATAAAGCAGATGTAGAAACAGGTTTATTTTAATGTGGGTGGCCTTTAGCCAAGTACTTCCTGACACAGACATCTATTCTAAGAAAATGATCAGTGATTAGAAATGCAAAGATTCCCATGAAATGTTAGCTGCAACAGAAAATGCTGGGAAGAACTATAAATGTCAGCAAATAAGGGATGAGTTTTCAGTTAGGAGGGAATCTTCTGAAGCTATTGAAACTAGGATACAGACCTGATTTTTGTGGACGTGGAAACACATTAAGGATAGAACGCTGAGTGCCAGTAAACTTATGGTAGGTAATGGTTAAGCAGGTACGGCCCTTCACCACACAGTGAAGACTAATAAGGGAAATTCGAGATCAAGGGAGTGTTGAGATAATCAGTAAAACTAAAGAGAAATGGAAGGCACACTAGGGAAAGCTGACAGCGGGACTTAAGTAAGTCTGGAGGGGCCATGCAAGACCTTCCTAAATCGTGATGAAGAATGAAGAGAAGCAGAACGGAAACAGGAAAGAAAAATATTCCAGATTAATAGAAATTTTAAAAAATAGATATATTAAGGTATGGCTATTCAAATACATGTTAATCCATTTGTGTTGAAAGATACTTTGTAGTTGCACATATCTCCAAGTAGGACATCAGAAAGAACAGTCGCCTAAATGTTATAGTGCATGCATTTATTTTTATGTTAGTTGTTTTCATTTTTTACCTTTTCCTTGCTCACATTTTCTGACTTTTCTCTCTGCAATTCAGTACGTGTGAAAGATATTCAGATGGGTGGCTGGAAGGATGGGGAACAGAGGAGAAGCAGGTCTCATGGAGAGCCTGGGCTGTGCAGAGCAATCCAACCCTTTCCTTCATCCCCTCGGTCACTGGAGGCCAAGATCAGCTGGAAGCATGCTTCCCCAACTGTTTCTGTTCACTAAGGCATTTCAACCACCCTACAGGCACGTGCCTTAGAGTCGACAGTTCAATTCATTATACTTCTAACCGGATTCCTCTGTCAACGCTGAAGTTGCAAAACCACGCATACAAAGAGTGACTGGCCGAGCTGCGTATCAAAACGGTGGCTGGATAACTCTTGGAGACGAGATAAATTATTCTAAAAAAGCCAGATTCAGGTGAAGGCAAGAAGGGGACAGAAGTGAAGCACTTACGGCTCGAGTCTGAAACCACTCTAAAGGGAGGGCGGCTCGAGATTCCCAGGTGGGGAGCAGAGTTTGTTTTCCGGGCAATAATAGGGTACACTCTGTCCTGGCTCAAGTGAGACAAGGTCACGTGGTTTACTTCAGCAGCTCCCGAGCCCCTCGCCAGGGGATGCTTGCACAGACTATTCCTACAGCGCCGTACCAAGGCCCTTTCAACAAGGTGACTCCGGCCCCGCTGTGCCCCACGGCAGGGAAAGGTCACTCTAGTGAATGAAAACGTTTGCATTCACCAGTCTTGGCGAACTCCTCTCCCAACCTTACTCCCAAAGCTCACACTCAAGCAGGGCCACTTCATCCACACGTTAATGCTGTGAGCACGTAAGATACGGGAAACAAACAGGTTGAGCAAGAGCCCCACCTTCACAAGAAATGAGGAGGTGGGTTAAAAAACAGACAGCTATCGTTTTGGGTTTTGTTTTTAAATGGTTATGACATGGGCTGGAAAAGGCCTTGTATGGAGCTGGAGGAGGAGGAGGAGGTAGGAGGAGCTCTTCTGAGGGAACACTCGTGCAAGGTGAAGGGCAGCCAGTGAGGTGAGAGAGAGCCAGGCGCACCAGTGCTACAGCCACTAGCGGACAGGCCAGGATGTGAGGTGATGGCTGCCACACTCAGAGCAGGCCACTTGGGAAGCACATGGCAGGGACATCTGAACCAGCTTGATGGCTCACAAGCCCAACAGCACTCCTTGGAGCATCGCACGGGTAGGTGCTGCCGACAGAAAGCTCAGCCTGCCGGTTTCAGGGACAGGTCCCAGGCGTGACGCATGTCAGATCCTTAGGCAAGGAGACTCCTTCCCTGAAAACTGGGCGAAGGTGCTGGCAGACATCTGTTAGTCCCCTAGAGGACCAGCTGTATATCCCCGTGGGAGAGTGCTCAGCCAGGTGTCAAGAAGCGGGTCTTCCTCACTGCACCAGTAACCAGGTCTGTCTCTTTTCCCTGCCTCAGCCCTCAGCAGGCCCAGCAGACACACAGCTAACAAGCTTCCCCCCAGGACCATGCTGCTACAGCCTGAGACTAACTAGCGCTTTGGTTCTGTCCCTTTGTTCCTGGTGGGGTCCCGCAGCCCTCCGTGGCACAAAGCACAGACGTTCCTCCTGACAGGCTCTCCTCCCTCCCCTCGCCCTTCTCCCCAGTCATGCGGCCACCCTCAGAACTCTCCCAGCACCTGAGGCTGCCTCTAGTGTGCCCTCGCCATACCTGTGAACATGGCACAGAAGTAAGGGCTGCAGGCCGCCAGGACCACACGGTGGGCTTCTACCTCCACATCTTCTGCCACAATCATCACGTCACACAGCAGCCGCTTACTGTAAGACACCAGCGAGGCGACAGAGGGGGTCACGGTGTGGACGCCTGCCCCGCCCTGCCCCACCCCCATCCCACCCGGGGCCACACGCTATCAATACAGAAGCCTGCCACAGAGACAAGGTGAGGCCCAGCTCTCCTGTGGCTGTTAAGTCCAAGGCTGCTTCGTTTACCTCATCACCCTGTTCCCAAGGTCTGCGGCAGTGAATCAGGACAACTGTGGCTCAGGAACTGATGTAATGCCATGGAACATGAGCACGTCACACCCAAGACCCCGAGCCCCCCCTCTTGTTCCCCGAAGGGGCTCCACTGCATATGCCGGACTAGTAAGAATCAAGATGGATTCGGGGGGGGGGGGGCGTTCTCCTCCCACCCAGATTTAACACCACCACCAAAAGACACCCTTAAACACAGCACTCCCAACCATCTTGTGCAAGCTCCGATTGTTACAGTCGCTAAGAACCTTGCCGGGGCTGCAGCCCTGTGGTAGCACACTTGCCTAGCACGTACAAAGTCTTAAGTTCGACCTCCCAGTACTGCTAAAAAGAAAAGGAAACTGTTGTCTGGGCCCAAGTAGACGGCTCAACAGGTAAAAGCGCTTCCTGTGCAAGCATGGGGATTTTGGTTCGGGTCCCCTGCTCCTACATTTGAAAAGGCAGGTGTGACTGGGAGCATGCCGGCAACTCCAGAGCTGGTGAGGGGGAGAAGAGAGTAACATTGCTAGGTCTTGCTGGCTACCAATCTAGCTCCAAATTCACTGAGAGACCCTGTCTCAAGAAAATTCAGCATCAGAGACTGAGAGGGTGATAAATAAAATAGAGCATCTCATCCTCCTCTGACATCCCAATACAGTCTCATATACTCATAATCGCACACACAATCTTATGGGCTGAGGATATGACTCAGTTGGTGAAGCGTTTGCTATGCAAGCATGAAGGACCTGAGTTCAATCCCCAAGAAAGCACTTTTAAAAAACAGGCATCACGATGCATGCCTGTATTCTCAGCACTAGGAAGACAGAGACAAAGATATCCCTAGGCTGGCTGGCCAGCCTATCTCGTCAAATGTGCAAGGTCCGAGTTCAGTGGGTGGCCTTATCTCTAAAAATAAAACACAGATGTAACCTGCAGTAACAACCTTCCAGGCAAGATATGCCCACTGGTGTAGTAGCGGCACACTATCTAAGGGTAACCAACTGCTTTTGAACTGGACATAAGGCCTGTACCACAAGAATGAATTCAGGCCTGGTGCTGTAAACCTGGTCAAAAGCCCATGGCTCAGGAGGCCGTAGGCTATTTAGGAAGGAGCCTACTCTTAATTGTTTTGCTAAGTGGCATGCTGTCCAACCGCCTTCTAAATGCATACACTTATGACCACAGTTTAGTTCTACCATCAGTCTCTACCTGAGAAGCTCCTCTCTGCAATGGTTCAGCCCTCAGTGGGACATCTGTATCAGTCCGCACCCCACGGCTCATGGAACATCAGCAAAAAGGGGAGGAAAGAATCTACCAACTGGAGGATGGGGAAGAGGGCTACGAAATTCTGCCTTCAGGACATGAGTGTGGCCCTTGCTCTCATGAACTCACTGACGTGATGATTAGCTGCACAAGATAACAAAATAAGTCAACACTCAAATGAGCAATAGTTATTAACCAAAAAAGAAGAGGACGGGAAGGGGAATGGGGATATGCTGAGGTGCTTGGGAGTTGGGAGGGGACTTTGGGTGTGCATATGATCAAGATATATTATTTGCATTATGAAATTACCAAAAAGTTAAAGATACACAGTGAATAAATTGTAAAAAAAAAATGAAAATTATTGATAGTCTATTTAAAAACATGATAGAGAATGATTAAGAAAGATGCCCAACATTGACCTCTTGGCCTCCACATGTATGTACACACATGTGAAGATACAAAAACCTGTAAACACACACACACACACACACCAGAATCTTCCTACTATCTTGTTTACATGGCAGTCACCTCCACCCCACTGTGAACTTGGAAAAGTAATTAGCATATTTAATGCTGTACCTTGGACACAAGGCTGCATATTTCCACATAGTAGGCCCTACATATTTTCAAACAAATAAACAGTTAATGAAATGAACCAATCTACATTCATTGACAGAATGGGCAATTAAGAACTGGGCTTGGTGGCACAAGCCTATAATCCCTGCTACTTAGGAGGCTAAGGCAGGAGGATCTCAAGTTCAAGGCTAGCCTAAGCAATTTAGTGAAACCACGTCTCAAAACAAAAGTAAAATAGGCCTTAGGGCAGCAGTTCTCAGTGGGTTTTGGCCCTTTTGGTAATCCTCTATTTCCAAAAACATTTACAATACAATTCATAACAATAGAAAAATTACAGTTCTAATGTAGCAACAAAAATAATTTTATGGTCGGAGGTCATAATATGAGGAACTGTATTAAAGGGCTAAAGGTTGAGAAGCACTTCCTTAGGGTATAGGTCAGCAGAGGAGCGTTGCCTAGTGTTTGTTAGATTCTGGATTCAGTCCCTAGCATCTAAAAAGAAAAGAAAACGGATATTTGAGTGCCTTAAGGTACCACAAAGACCCTGCCAATCCAAGAACTTTCTCAACAGCCTTCCAAGTTCTTCTCTCTCCTATCATTGATATAATAATGTTTACTGAGTTAGAGATGCTAAGTACTTCTCTAAGCACTAAGTGCTTTTCCCCCAGACACCATTTCATTTAATCTTCTCTACAACTAACTCGCTGAGGTAATGCTGTTATGCCTGCATCCTACGATGAACAAACTGAGGCCCAGAGAAATCAACAGGTTCCTCAAAGGCACACAGGAATGTGGAGATGAGATTTTACGGCAAGCAACTGGATCCCCAAGCCCCTTCTAGGGTACCCCGATCACCTCGAGTCTCTCCCTTAATGCTAGGAGGCGAAGCAGCGAAGACCAGCACAGCTAAGCTGTGGTCTGACTGTAGTTTGGTCATGTCGGATTCTAGGTAAGGATGCTGGGATCAATGAGTCTGTCACGGCCGGCAGATGGAAGCGAAGTTATGAGTTTGATAACTTCTGGAGCAGCACATCTAGCCATTGTCAACTACCGATGCATTGTTTCCAGTTTCTCTCAGAGAAGCGGAACTGTAAAGCCTGAGACAGCAGCAGCCTCAGATGCACACAGTGGGCTTTGACAACACTTGGCCTGCGAAACCCAGAGAAGGAAAGAGATGCCCAAACCAGGAAGTTGAATCCTGAAGGCAGTTCTCCAGACCGTAAATACGGTACTTTTCCCAAAGCAACCCTAGGCTGCATCACCGACTAGCACATAGGGTGGGAAAAGACAGGCCGGTGGTGGGAGCTAAGAAGTTGAGACCATTAGGACCTCCTTCTGCAGCAGACAGCATGAATGAGGACAGAACTGACCCCACTCTTACTAACCACAAGAACGGGAGCACAGCAGCTCACACCATTTTCTTGACTGCCTTATCTGGGACACACATTGTGGGGTCCAGTTTCTAGGCCGCTTTTGGTAAAGCAGTGAGACTCTTGTCTAAAATAGACTATATTTTTTAATATCAAAAAGGAGCGAGAACCAGCCTTTCCCCCCCCCCAAAAAAAAAAGATACAAACATAAAAACAGGTAGTATAATGGTATCTCAGGTGTCACCTTGATGAGGCCTAGGACAACCTGGGAGACGGCTGTAGGCATACCTAAGGGGAGTTAACTTGAATAGGTTAATTGAGATGGAAAAGCCTGCCCTCTGTGGGCAGCACCATTCCCTAGGCTGGGGTTGTGGGAAGTGAGCTGGACATTGCTCCCCGATTCCTGACTATAGATACAGTGTGACCACCTGCCTCAGGCTCCTGCAGCAGCTGTGACCTCCCCAACACTGACAGACTCAAACTTCAAACCCAAATAGGCCTTTTATCCTGTAGGTTGCTTTTGTATTTGATCATAGCAATACCATGGAATAATAACTAACAACCAATAACTAGTCATAGGAATAGTAACAGCTATGCAGATCAACAGAAAAGAATTAGAAGCCCATTAAAAAAAAATGGGCTTTTGTTATTTGTAATGTATTTTATGACATTGTGGCCAATCAAGGTATGAGAAGGCACAAGTCTGTGTCCATGTACATGTGCGTACAGGTACACAGACGTGTGCGCATGCATGTGAAGGCCTGAGGTTAATGTCAGGTATCTTCTCTAGTCATGCTCCACCTTATTTTTGAGTTGTATTACACTCATTCATTCTTGCTGTGGGGAATATGCCATGGCAAATGTGTGTGTGTGTGTGTGTGTGTGTGTAAGAACAAATGGCTGGAACCAGTTCTCTCCTTCCAACATCACAGTCCTAGAGAGCAAACCCAGGTCATCGGTTCTGGCGGCAAGTGCTCTTAGGCCCTGAGCCTTCCTGTAAGCCCTCCACTTCAGTTTCTGAGACAGAGCCACCTACCCCACTGGGACTCACCACCCAGAGGCTAGGCTGCCTTGTTCCGAGGATCTGTGTGCCGGTCTCCACCCTCATCACCCTCAGCTGCCACACCTGGCTTTTTCCTGGGTGCTGGAGACCTGAACTCGGTTCCTTGTGCACGGCAAGCACTTTACCCTGTGAGCCATCTCCCCAGCCCCTCAGTCAATTTCTTACACGTGTGCTATGGCCGGTCAACTATGAAATAATAGTCCTTCCAACAAATAGTGACAGGGTACCTGGATATAAGCACGCAGTGGAATGAAGTCTGATCACTATCTCATACAGTATACAAAAAGTACTTCAAAGTGAGCCAAACGCCTAAGAGTCAAAAATATCAACCTATTGGAAGAAAACATGGAGAAATCGTGGTTTCAGATAGTGCAATGGCCTCATAGCTTTCACACCAGATGTATCCTGGGTAAGATGATCAAGCCTCACTCAGAAAGGCAAATGGGACAGGTATCGTAAGAGGGAGAAAACAGGGAACAGGACAGGAACCTACCACAGAGGGGCTTTGAAAGACTCTACCCAGCAAGGGATTAAAG